GGTTCCGGTGGGGAGCGCGTGCATGGCAGGAGCTGGTGAAGGGGGAACACTTACTCCAGCACCGTCAGGCTCCTGTTCACCATCAGTGACCTGGCCAGTGCCTTGGCTCCCTTATTGCTGATCTGATTTTCTGCTAAGCTGCCCGGAAAAAGAAGAATCAGGTGTTTTTCAAGGGAGAGAAAGAGGCTCCTGTTTGTGGTACAACCATGCGAAGTGATGGATGCCCTCCGGGGGTGGACACCAGGCAAGGTGGATCGCAAGGAACAGGGTAGAAGGGGAATTTCTAGACTTAAAATTCATTCACGTTGTGAAAAGGGAACTCGGATCGCAGCGTGGGGGGCTTTACGCGCAGCCACGAAGAAGGGGAGGGTGGTGGGGAAAATCCTCTCCCTCTGCGGGGGTCAGGAACCCATCCCCTCCATACGCCAGATGCTCCATGCGGAGCCTTGGGTGTCCAGCAAACAGCCGTGACCTTGGGAAGCAATTTGTTGCGATAACCCATGGATTTCCGCACAGGAAATTTTTAGGAACAGCGAGGAGGCAGCGGTCCCGGGAAGGCTGGGCGAGACAGCGTGCCCAGCCACCGCAAGGGCACCGTGCCCAGGTGCGGGAGATCGTGTGGGGCTGTCCTTGTCACTAGGCACCCTGGGGAGCCAGTGGGAGAGACATTCCTGGAGGACCCTCACCCTGGTTCCAAGGTGCCCCCAGCTCCGCTCTGCATCCCCAGGAACAGCCCGTCTGCGCTGGGCCAGGTCCTACCTGAGCTTCTGGATCTGGCAGTCCTTCACGCTCAGCACGCTGCCCAGCAGCTCCATCACGTTGTCCTTAAACTGGTTATTGTCCAGCCTGGAGAGGATAGAAGGAAAGAGCAAAAGCAAGTGCTTGGAGAGCAAAGCGGAGAAAGGATTCCCCTCCCGTGACATCAGCCCATGACAGGTGGAAAAACTCAAGCACAGAAGCGGAGCTGACCCAGTGCTGTCCTCAAGGCAGCTCTCTGATGATGGACAATGTTGGTGGGCCCATGTCTCCCATCGACACCCAGGATTTTGAGTCACAGTCCAGCATCCCTGCTTGCTTCTCCCAGTGCAATTTCACCGAGACTCACCTGAGGTTGTGGCAGAAGAGGAGCTGGGAGAGCAGGCTCTTACAGACGTTGTAGGTGAGGCAGTTGGAGAGGTTTGTCTCCACCATGCAGATGTCGGAGACCTGCAGGAGATAAGCTAGGGCAGAGCAGTTCACGGGGGTGAGTGTCCCAGCCAAGCTCTCGTTCTTCATGGCTTCTTCCACAGTCTTAGCGATTTCCATGTGCTGAATTTCATACAGGCAGTGCATGGTGTTCACTGTCCGCGAGGAGATGATGTAGTCGGTGTTCAGGCAACCCTGGAGGAAGCTGATCGCTTGGCTCCTGAAGCTGTTGTGCTCATCCTTCACCAGCAGCCACCCAGAGAGCAGCTTGTTCACCTGCGGGGAGAGGAGCCCGGAGAGAAAACGCACAAAGATGTCCAGCTGCCTGTCCTCTGCCTGCAGCGACCTCTGAACAGCACTCCTGAAGTGGTTGAGGAAACCCAACTTGGGCCAGGACATCCCACTCTCCGTGAAGAGGTCGAATATTGCCCGCTTTGCAGCCGTGTAATAATAAATAGCCGCTAGAAACTCCTGTATGGTTAAGTGGGAGAAGTAGTAGGCTGTGAAGGACTGCATCTCTTCTTTGAGTAGGAGTCGACTGCACAAGCTGCTCTGCAGCAGGGAAAGGTCAATGCCGTACGCTTTCATGTCCTGCTCATAGAACACGTGTTTCTTTTTGAGCAGCCCGTAGAAGGCCAGTCTGCCCAGGCTGCCCACTATCTTCTTGCTGCTGTTGACAGCCTGCTCGATCCTGAGTGTTTCTCTTGGCTTTTCCAGCCAGTCGCTGCTCAGAGCCATTTTAAAATAATAGGAGTAGATTTCTGACAGGGTCTTGGGGACGGCGGTTGTTTCTTGGGATTGATCGGTGCTATTTTTTAGGTAGTAACCAATTGAGGAGCCAGAAATCCAGCAAAAGCCGGGAACGGTGCACATGACGTATAACGACCTGTTAGCCCTGATGTGATGCAGGACTTGGCTGGATAGGTCTCTGTTGTCAAGGAACATCTGGTCCAAGAAGTCCTTCATCTCTGCAGCTCCAAAACCTCGTATTTCCGTCATCCGGTCAACAAGCCCGCCAGGGATTTGGCTGGCTGCTGTTGGCCGCGATGTGACCCAGACAGAAGCCTCCTGCAGCAGGTTGCCACGTATGATGTTGGTGATCAGGTTGTCCACTTGGATCTCCTTTTTGGGATCAGTGCATACTACTGTGTTGGAAAAATCCAAGGGAGTCTTGAACTCATCCAAGCCGTCGAGGATCAGCAGGGTCCTGGCGGCTCCCGCCGAGATGCAGTTCGGCTCGGTGATGTGAGGGAATGCCAAGCAGATGAGCCTCTCGGCAGAGAGCTTCTCGTAGGTGTTGAGCTCCCGGAAGGTGAGGGGCAGCACAAAGATGATGTCCCTGTTGATCTCGCCCTTTGCCCAGGTGTAGACAAACAGCTTCACCAGTGTGCTTTTGCCAATCCCGGCCACTCCGATGGTGACAGAGATCCGAGGTGCGATGCTGACCTTGGAGAGAGGCAGGAAGAGCTTCTCCAGAGGGATGCTCTTGGATGCATTTCGTAGGCCTTTGGTGGCTTCAATCTGCAGGATGTCATGCTCCTTCTGCTGGATATCGGTCAAGCCTTCCACCAGCAACAGGTTCCTGAGTCGCTGGAGGGGACCTGTTTCCAAGCCATTCCCATAATAGCTTTGGAGGCTCTCCAGGTGCTTCTGCACCATGGGTTCTGCAGAGAGGGAAATGAAACAGGGGTGAGGAAGAGGATGGCAAGCACAAATGCAAATGAGCGATGCTGCTTCACTTTTCTGCCATGCCCATGCAGAGGGGACACGGCACAGAGCCCTTACGTCCGAGCAGGAAGGTATGTGCCGGGGTCCTGAGGGCACTAACAGGCTTAACTGGCCCTGACCAGCCCCACCCATCGGTCCAGGAGCCCATTTAAGCTCAGCTCTGGGCCTTCAGCCCCTGCCTAAGCTATGTTGTAGGAGCATTTGTCTACAGCGCCATCGCGCCTGTGTCTGCTGTGGACCTTGTCGATCTGGACCTTAACCTTGGACCTCATCACTCTGCACTGGACTTACATGGTCCAGTGACCACTGGACCATGTGTGACCCTGGTTGCCCTCGCTGGACCTGATCCTGATGTTTGGATTGACTTCCCAGCTTGGATTGACTCCAGCCCTGCCTCATTGCCATGGACTTGACTGATGAGCTCTCATCTTGGTTGAACCTGGTGACCCTCTCTGGACCTGTCCTGCTTGCCTGGCTCAGGTACCGTGGCCCCGATACTGCATATTTAAACCCTCCGGCAAAGGCTGGACAAGCAGGGGATGGTGCTGCGAGAGATTCAGAGCAGACACCAACCTAGGCTGGAGCCTTCCAACCAGGAGGGAAAACAGGGAAACCTCTCCTGGCAAGAGGGTTGCAAGGAGAGCCTGAAGTTGGGGCAGCCACCAACAGATGGGGTCAGGGATGCCCAGTCGTCCTCCTCTTGCTGTCCCCCTGATCCCAGCCCAGATGCTGGGAGTGACTGGTGTGATCTGGACATTAAAGACTCCTCAAGCTGCCCAGAGACGCGTGCCGAGATCTGCGAGGGGCCTGGAGGAAGGTCCCTCAGACCTGGCACACAGCCCTTGTCACCCCCGGCTGTATCCTTCTCCAGCGGAGACCCTGGAGATGGCACCACCTCTTCCCTGGACGCTCCCGTCGGAGCTGCCCGGCTCCGTGCACGTCTCGGGGTGCTCCAGCAAGCGCGCACAGCCAGGATGTGTGCAGACACCCCACATTGGGTCCAAAGCGGGCTGCCTACCATAGACAGTGATGTGGAGGTAGAGCTGGGAATTGGTGGTCTTGATGAAGGTCTGCAGGGACTGGGAGGCGTAGCTGCCCTTGCCAGCCAGGACATCCACCACCGCCCTCACCTGCTCGGGCAGGGAGCTCACCTCCTGTGCCCGGCCGGCCTCCTCCGCCGTGAGGAGGTCCAGCCTCCGCAGGTAGCAGATGATCTCCTCCAGGAACTGCGGCGAGATGGACCTCACCAGCTGCTTGTGGTAGCGATCGATCCAAGCCTCTGCAGGAGAGGAGAACGGGAGAGTTGGGTCTTGTGCAAGCCCTGGGCACGTTGCTCAGGGGTGGTGGGGAATGGCAGCAGTGGAGCGCCCTGTCTGATTCTGAAGGTAGCAGGGGGTAAACCAGAGCCCTCCAGAGTGACCTGCCAAAGTCTTCCTTGAGATGATCGTAGAATCGTAGAATGGTTTGGGTTGGAAGGGACCTTAAAGATCATCTAGTTGCAACCCCCCTGCCATGGGCAGGGGCACCTTCCACTAGACCAGGTTGCTCAAAACCCCATCCAACCTGGCTTCCCCCACCAAGCCTGGCCATGAACACTTCCAGGGAGGGGCCATCCACAACTTCTTTGGGCAACCTGTTCCAGTGTCTCACCACCCTCCTAGTTATAGAATTTCTTCCTTATATCTAACCTAAATCTGCCATCTTTCCGTTTAAAGCCATTGCCCCTTGTCCTATCGCTACATGCCCTTGTAAAAAGTCCCTCTCCAGCTTTCTTGTAGGCTCCCTTCAGGTGCTGGAAGGCTGCTGTGGTGCCATCCCAAAGTCGTGGCAGGCTGTTTTGTTAGGAGCTGCTTGGTCAAGGCAGCAGCTGTCAAAATTGGAGTCACAGAGGGCGAAAGAACACAATCAGAAAGTGACATTTCCTCCTGGAAACCAAGCCCATGTAGAGATAAAAGTCTGAGCAAGATCATTTGTCTTCAGAGACAGCCATTCCCCCTGTGCCAGCACAGCGGTCCCCAAGCTCTTGGACCAGGGACCGCTGTCAATCCTCACACCTTACCACCTCAACCCGTTTTTTGAACCCAAAACGGCACCGAGATGACGGACCCCGGCCCCCCCCCCCGCCACTCACCTTCCATCAGAGGCCTCCTGCGACATGGGCGATGCCTGGGTGAGGAGTGCCGTGTTGGCAGCAGCACGGCCGTCCCATGGACCTCCTCGTGTCCCCTCGGCTGGCTCACAGCATCAGTTGAGGTCCCTCAGCCTTTATCCGTGTTCCTGGTGGAAGAAGAGGAGAAGCATCAGGAGCAGCATGGGAGGGAGCCCACCTTGAGCTAACGTGGTGCTGACTGTGGTTGAGCCAAGGGTCCATCCATCAGCTTTTGGCTCAGACCAGGCTCCCCGGCGCTGCGGACCTGGCAGGTGCAGACCTCGTGTACCACAAACC